TAAAATCATTGAGTTGAAGGTGTTAAAGATGAAATAATATCAGTTTTCAATCTCAGTTTTGTTTGAGCTACTTTCCATATATTCCTACCCATTAAACCCGGCCAAGTTACAACCTGTGAGGTTCTTTTGATCAATTATGCATGTGTTAATATTCCTCATCTTTAGGAACTTGAGAATATGATCAAGCTTATGGTAGTGTTATTGCTGTGATGGATTGAGTGATTGTTACTCCCTTAAACACTTGAGTGCTGAGCGTTGTATGATTATCTTGGTGAGGGGTGTTCAAGTTAGACTCTGACATTTTCATGAGAATAGAAGGCATTGTTAGGAGTTCTTTGCATTGATTCAGTCATGCTTAGCATAGTGATCTCTTGATTGTCTGTGTGATATTGTGTTGGAATAATTGATTGTTTCCTGGATTGAGTCTTGTACATTGCTGGGGACAGCAACGTTTAAATCTGGGAATGATTTGATGCGCCTCTGACAAATGTGGTTTTTCCATGTTAAAATTGATAAGAATTGGGTCATAAGAGAGCAATTTAAATACATATTTGCTAATTATATTGATTCTTTCTTTTCAAATATAGTTCTCACCTATTGGTTGTGTTTTTACAGGTAAAAGAAGTGAAAATTACAAAATTATAAAAAGCCTGTTGACGCGATTCCACGAGGGTATTTTTGGAAGAAGAAAAAGAGTCTTATAAATAGGAGACTTTGCACATAAATTAGGTTAAAAGGTGAAGAAATTCGAAATTTGAAAGAAAACAAGGAAATGATTTGGCGCTGATCGTGCAGGTGCCATGAATGCAGTCCTTGATTTGTGGAGTCACGGATTTGGCGCTGATCGTGCGGGCGTCATGAATGCAAAATCCTTGAATTGTGGAATTATGATCAGAATAAATTCAGGAATTATGACCGGATCGCGGATTTGGTGCTGATAGCGTGGGCGTCATAAATGTTGTCCTTGAATTGTGGAATTATGATCAAAATGAAAAATTAATGAAATTAAATTTAAAGATTATAACCTGATTGACCGGTTGCCTATTTAAAGGGTGGTCCTCCACCATTCCAAGAGATTGGAGACAATTTCGACCTATTTTCTTCAGAAGGAGACCGACGGCAGAGCTCAGGAGGATTCTTCCACAGTTCTTCTTCTTCATCTATTTCTCTGTAATTTTATGCTTTGGAATATTGGATTATTGTTAGCCATGATTATGCTTGGCTAATTCTCTTTTATTGTAGTTAGGGTCACGAGCCCTATGTGAACCCTTGTTACGATGGATTGATTTAGTTTTATTCATTTGTATAATTATCTTTGTCTCTACCTTGTGCGTATTTCCTATTCTCTTTATTAGAACTGATCAATCTGATAGTTGGGAATAGTTTGAGGGTTAGAACCCTAGATAGGAATATTGGGGTTTTCATCTTGAAAAGGGGTAGGACAACAATTGATATGCATGCTAGGAATAGATGTGTATTTAATTGCGGATGCTTAAATTATTGCGTTCATTGCTTAATACCATGAGGAACATTGCAAGGAATTGGGGTTTCAATTGGGGATTAAAGGGTTAACCTTGCAAGGAATTGAGGGTTAACTAATAAATATTTTTAGATAATAATTTATCCGAGTAATTATATGAATAGATATTGTGAATCAATCCAAAGTAAGAAGTGGGGATCATAAGGTGAGTGCGCTCTAGCTACAATATTTCTCATATTTTTATCCAAATCATTTTGCATCATTCTCTTATTTTTAAAATACAAAAATACGTCTTTGTCTTTAATTTCTATTGTTCTTCAAATCGCTTGGGTTTTATATCTTGAAAGGACGTTTATAAGATATTCGCTCACAATCCCTGTGGAGACGATAACTTACTTATCACTTTATTACTTGAACGATCGGTACACTTGCCGGATTGTATCACTCTACAATAAGCATCAAATGGGCGACAATACTCACCACCATTGTCAAATCGGACCACCTTCAATTTCTTGCTAGTCTCCCTTTCAACCATTGCATGGAATTCTTTGAAGGATTGGAGTACCTGGTCTTTAGACTTAAACTAATATACCCACACTTTGCGAGAATGATCATCAATGAATGAAACAAAGTACTGAGCTCCTCTAAGGGATCTCTCCGACATGGAGCAGACATCAGTATGGACGAGGTGAAGAATATACTTGCATCTTCTGGGTTGATCCGGTTTCATGAAATATACCCGATGAAGCTTTCCAGCTAGATAGTGCATGCAACTCTCCAACGCTTGGCCTTTCAACTCGGTCAGTAATCCTTTCTTGTTCACAATTTGGAGCCCTTTCACGCTCATGTGTCCTAGGCATTTATGCCATAGCTCCAGGCTAGGTTCATCTCAGACAGAGTTGGCTTCTCTGCCATTGATCTTTCCTTGCATCACGTACAAGGAGCCTTCCTTCTTACCTCGGGCAACAACCAAGTTTCCCTTAGCTAGCTTCCATCTACCACTACCGAAGTAGTTCACTAACCTGACATCATCAAGCTTTCTTACCGAGATTAGGTTTAGTCGCATGTCAGCAACATACCTTACATCTTTCAACATAAGTCGGCATCCGACATCCGTGGTCAGAGTCACATCACTGACACAAACAATCTTGCTGGCCACCTGATTTCTCATCTTCATGACTCTAAAATCACCACCTCAGTAAGGAGAAAAAATATTTGTGTGGAGTAACGTGGAAGGAGGCACAAGAGTCAACAATCCAAGTGCAGTCATCATATGCAATATTCAAATAATTATCCTCACCAAGGAGGAATATCTTGGCATCCGAGTTGGCAGCCACTGCTATGTTGCTTTTGTCTTTTTTCTTTATTGAAATGATCTAATCCGGATTCACAGTGTCATTCTTCTCATCTTTTTGCAAAGTCCTATAGTCTGGCTTCTTATGATCGGGCTTCTCACAATAGAAGCATTTCAACTCATATTTTGGCCTAGACTGGCCTTTGGACTTGTCAAAACCCCGGCTCTTACTACGACTCCGGGTGTCGGACCTTCCTCTATTCTCGGTCACGTTTGCCTTAGATGAGCTTGTTACACCTCGTTCCCTTCTCATGGACTCTTCATTAGAAGGTTTCCTGTCACGAAATCCATCTTCAATTTTCCATCAGGAGCCGAGTTGCTTAATATCATCACCAGAGTATCTCAGCTTTCTAGCAGCGAGCTCAACAACAGCAAAGCCTGCATCTTGTATATCAGCTTTAGAGATACGATTCACAATACCTTTGTAGGTGTTAAGGTATTCAATCATGCTCATACCATCCTCGTATGAGAGTTTCACAAGTCGACGAACCATGTGTGCTTTGTTCCTGGGAGTCTTCTTCTGAATCATGGACTCCAGCTTTGTCCACAACTTGTACGCATTCGTAAACTTGGACAAGTGCTCAAAGAGGCTTTTGTCAATATATTTCCTGATAGTGGCTACCGCCTTCGGACTCAGGATCTCACATTCTTTATCAGTTTTGCCTCCAGGCTTCTCTTTAAGGATGATGGGCTCATATAAATCTTTGTAGTAGAGATGATCTTCCATCATTGATCTCCAGTAAATGAAGTTGTCCGCGATCAATTTGAACATGTCTCCATCATGTGAGATTCCACTGGTCTCCATCCTGTCGAACCCGGGCTCTGATACCACTATTGGGAACTCGATTTCCTCAACTCGGCTAAGAAGTCTTTGCGGAAGTCAAACCTCGAGCTAGGAGCTCAGCTCTTCAATCAGAGGCCAGCTTGTATCAACAGGCGGCCAACGCAGCGAAAAAATGAAATAACACAGATGAGTGAGAGTGAGAGAGCACAAACAGATTTTAACGTGGGAAAACCTTCTCCAATGTGAAGAAGTAAAAACCCACGGGACACTAGTTCGGAATCAAATTTCCACTATGAAAATAATATCACCAACAATGGTGGTATATTCAAACCTCACCTACAATGGTGGTTATCTCTCAAACTTCCCTAAGGAGGTAAAATACTCAAGCTTCTATCCAGAGGTACTCTCAAAATTAAAGATTTGAGTTTTTCACTCAAAACTTCAAATCTCACAAGTCAATCTTTTTATTCTTCTTCTAATCTATCTCATTTCCACAACTAATGTATTTATAGGGGAATTAAGTGGTTTAGGATTTTAGGATTTCTTAAACCATCATGGACTTTGGGCTTAGCATTAAGGAGGAAGCCAAACATAACTTACACTGGAAACTAAAGAGACATTTCAACAATGATTACTACCCATATCTTTTGCAATTCACATTCCAAACACCATCACATACAACAACAATATGACAAATTCATGGCTGCCTCTTTTAATCGTAAAGCAATAGCTAACTAGAGGTTTTATTTTTTCTTTCTTACTAAGACTTTCATTAAACATTACACGGAAGCCGCACCTTTTACAAAACTCTTTATGAATCCCGTCATCTAATCTGTTAACATGTCATTAATTTGATGCAGACATATTTTAGCACACTCAAACAACATACATGTGAACTTGATTTAACTAAACGCGGACAACTCTCGCCCAATCTACTTCTAACTTCTTATAACAAAGCTTTTCCATTACGAGCACATGGCAAAAAACAAGAAGAGAAAATATTCTTGTGTATAATATACATAGTTTAGTACACCAAGTGAATTGACAACTCACATTTTAATTGGAATTATAAAAATATTCGTTTATTTCACAAAAATTTACAGAAGATTAGCACCAATTTGCACGCAATAATATCTTAATGAAAACAAATTACCAAATAATTTGTGTATTGTTCTATTTCCTCATCACAAACTTTTTCTACATAATTTATATGATTCTTTGAATTGAACCAACCCACACCTTACCAAAATTTTGTCCGCTAGCTAGCACAAGGCACCAATAGGATAAGATAAAGTTATCAGCCATTGCAAAAAAAAAAAAGTTATCAGCCATTGCTCTTCCTCCGTAGCTTTTTTTGCCATCATAGTTTTCTAAGATCAATCATGACCCTCTTTTCTTTATCAAACTCTAAATGCTTTTGGGGAACTTCAATTGCATTAGCATTCTACTTGAGTTTTCTCTACATTGTAAACTCAAGTACCCTTCAAACCCCATCTCCAAATCCATGCAAGGATCCTTACAAGCAACTCAGGCTCATCCTTAACCCAAATGGAACAGTCACACGATCAAACAAACCCCCAGAGAGCCCTCCCGCACCTGATCCCAACCTCAACATCCTCGTACTCTCCAAGGACCTCACCATCAACCAATCAAAAGGCACATGGGCCAGGATCTACCTACCCCGCAAAGCACTGGATCATAGCTCCAAGCTTCCCCTGGTGGTTTTCTTCCATGGGGGCGGGTTCATTTTCCTCAGTGCAGCCTCAACCATATTCCATGATTTCTGCTTCAACATGGCAAACGACGTCGTAGCTGTTGTTGCGTCCATAGAATACCGTCTTGCACCTGAACATAGACTTCCTGCAGCCTATGAAGATGCTATGGAGGCGCTGCACTGGATCACAACCAACCGAACAGATGATTGGGTGAGAAACTATGTTGATTATTATAATGTTTTTCTTATGGGTAGTAGTGCAGGAGGAAACATAGCGTACAACGCAGGTCTACGTGCAGCTTCGGGAGATGATCAAATTTCTAAGATCAGAGGGCTAATATTGGTTCAACCATTTTTTGGTGGGACCCTTAGGACCGCTTCAGAACTGAGGCTGGCGAATGAGCCTCATTTGTCACTGTGTACTAATGACATGTTGTGGGAGTTATCCTTACCCGTTGGAGTTGACCGCGATTATGAGTATTGCAATCCTACGGTGGGTGATGGTCCTGTGAGATTGGAAAAGATCAGACGGCTTGGGTGGTGGATACTGGTGACCGGCTGTGGCGGTGACCCACTTGTGGACCGTCAGATGGGACTTGTGAGGTTGATGGAGAAGAAGGGTGTGAGAGTTGTCGGACATTTCACAGAAGGAGATTATCATGGGGTTCAAGATGTTGATCCCCTGAAAGCAAAGCAATTATATGCAGTAATGAAAAGTTTTATTTCATCTTTGCCTTCTCGGGGTTGAACGAGGTATTGTACTTTGGTTCTTGTAAATAATAATCATTTGGTTTATGTACTTTGATTTCTCTATTGGATGTTCATATGTAGTTGGAGTTGTCAAAATGGAAATAATGAAAATAAACCAATTACTAGTAAATAATTGTTGATTGAGCAGGATTATTGTAACATCCCGTGTATACTTGGTTTGTTAACATATTATCGTATTAAGTTGCGCTAAATTAAAAATGCGAAATATCTTTTTTTTTTTTTTCCAATTATGACGTCATTAAACTTAGCCAAGTTGATTACTTAATCAATTTCATAAAATATCGCCTGTATGTAAATTGCAAAACGACATCTAACTGAAATACCTCATGATATAGATAAAGTGAATATCTATGTCACGGATCCACTACACGTAGTCCGGACAATAATCCTGATACATTAATACAACTCCAAAAGAAACAAGACATAATCAAGTCTATGTGGAATGGACAATTCCCATGCTCACCAAATCAACAGCATAACCAACAGAGTCTCAACAGAGAAATCCATAAACTGAAGCTAAAAGCATAAGACAGTAAATAAGATCCACATCCAATTATAACAGCATATCAGCATAAGCAGCATAAACATGTAACATCTATCAGCTAAGCTCTGGCCTCCTGCCACTAGAGGTCTCAACCCCCGCATTACTTGAACCTGAAATAAGCATTCCCCAAACGTGGGGTGAGATCTCTAAACCAGAAATCTCAGTAAGACAAGGGGTCCTCAAGGATCTTTCACCCCAAGCTCACTTACATGTGCAATATAAGTTCAAAAGTAGTAATTTCCAATATAAGTTCCAAAACTATGCAGTGCAACAGATATCCATGCCATGTGTGTTTAAACTATTCTACTGGCCATAGAAATGCAGGAATACGTCTATTACCTACAGATAGTACAAGGAACACCGTTTGCACCTCACCCACAGCCTCACTATATTGTATGTACTACATACTCAGGCTTACCGTATAGGTGGAACACCACATGCATATCATAAAGGCACTAGCATATAACGGCTCAACAGCATTTCCAAAACATCAAAAGCATGTAACGCAACATGGATATAACCATACCCCAATGGGACATGGTGGAACCACAACATGGCTAAATCGAGGACACGAAAGCATACCTTGCAAGCTCACTATCCAATGCCAAGAGTCCACACAGCTCAAGTCCAACACACAGCAGATCAATATCTGATTAGGACCAGCAAGCATATCAACACTCATAGCTCATAAGCATAAACATAAAGACTATGTTTTCCTCCTACGATTTATGTCTTAAGGCTTCACACAAAGCCATAAGCCCTTAACCACTTGATTATGACTTAGTTTGATTAAAACAGAAGTTCAACTTCATCACTCTAGGGTCCACAAACCCCCAATAGCCTATTGTATGAACAGTGCAACTACTGTTCTTCGAAATTCCAGAATATCCAGATATATGTCGGGGACATATCCGGATATCCAATATCCGAATATCTCTCTGGCAATATCCGAATATCAATATCCGGATATCCAGATCCCCATATCTGGATATCAATAGCCGGATATCAATATCCGGATATTTCGCGACAGAATGCAGTTTCTGCATTTCGCGAAGATATCCTTCCAAGGTTCCATTTTTAACACTTAAACACGTTATAGCGTGCGTTTTTAGGCACATTAAGGTTCATACAACTGTTGGTTACATGTTTAACTCATTAAACATACCAGGACATCTCCTTTAAGCATAAAAACTCAAGAACAAAGGTGGTACAACTTACCCAAAGCTTCAAACTCAGAATGGAAAACTCTTGGAGCTCACCAACAGCTCCTCAAACTCAGACCAAGAAGGAGTACGAAAATGGACCAACAAAGTTTGGTTCTTGCACCCAAAGGTCACTCTTTAGACCTCACAATGCCATAACAATGGCTTCCACCACTCAACTCCCAAACCAGCCCTCAAAACTCAACCAAAACAGAGGCCATAACTCAGAAAAGGTTACATTTTCCCCTCACAAAGATGCTCACTAGTGTTTACGAAGGGAAGGAGAGAAAAATCAAGCAAAATATATCACTTTGGCTCAAAGAAGGAGGAAGGAGAGGTGGTGGCTGATGAAGGAAGCAGCTCCAGCAAAATGGGTCACGTAGGATGGCACAAATGACCTAGGATCATGTGCTCTCTAGCTATATATAGCCCACTAAAGCCTTAAACACACAGTATTAACTTTAATTGCTACGCTTAGGATTTTAATCCCAAACTCAGGATTCTTAACCTGCTCAAATTTACAAGAATTATAATATTTTTCTTATATTTTTTGGAGTACCTTTCCGGTATGCGCTTTTCATAGCCAGTATCAGTTTCTGGCACCAGTTCTCATTTTTTTAACTTGAAACTCGTTTTACAAGTCCTATATATTATTCTAGGAAATATCATGCACTTATTATAATTTTCCGAGATACTTTATCGGTACACATTTATACCGACTAGCGAAACCGGTATCTGCACTTTTCTTCCAAAAAGAGACTTTCAGCATTCTTAATCACGTACTATAATTATTAGAGCCTCATAATAATTATTAGGGCCAATTATGAAATTATTTCTTAATCTCAAATATAATTAATTAATTTTCTTAATTAACGGTGCGAGTTCTTACATTCACCCCAACTTTTTAGGATTTTATCCTCAAAATCAGAAACATACCTGTCTCGAAACTCGGGGTATTGCCGGAGAAGCTCGTCCTCACGCTCCCAAGTACACTCCTCAAGAGTTCTTCCAGTCCACTGCACTTTGACCATCGGAATGATCTTGCTCCTCAGCTGTTTCTCGCCACGATCGAGAATCTTGAGTGGTCCGACGGGAGTCTTCAGGTTCTCCCGAACCTCCATATCATTAGGTTGCACCACGTGCGAAGGATCTGCTATGTATTTTCGAAGCTGAGACACGTAAAACACGTCGTGGATGTTGGCCAAGTTCGGAGGCAAGGCAAGCCGGTAGGCAACAGGTCCTACACTACGAAGAATTTGGTATGGCCCAATATATTGTGGGCTCAGCTTCCTCACTCCGAGTGCCCGACCAACACCGGTGACAGGTGAAAGTCTCACAAACACATGCTCACCCTCACTGAACTCCAGTGGACGATGCTTGACATCATAGTAGCTCTTCTGGCGATTCTGCGCCTGCTTTAACTTTTCTCTGATCATCAGGATCTGCTGGGTGGTATCGTGGACAAAGTCCAAGCCAAAAAGCTCCTTGTCTCCAACCTCAGACCAATAGGTAGGAGTCCGACACCTCCTACCATACAGTGCTTCGTAGGGCGTCACACCCAGGCTAGCATGAAAGTTGTTGTTGTACGAAAACTCAACCAACGGAAGGTACCTATCCCATGCCGAGCCCTGCTCCAACGTGCAAGCCCGTAACATGTCCTCCAAGGTCTGGATAGTCCGCTCAGTCTGTCCATCAGTCTGAGGGTGATAGGCGGTACTCAATCTCAACTGCGTACCAAAAGCCTCTAGCAGCGCCTCCCAAAACCGAGATGTGAACTTCGGGTCCCTATCACTGATGATACTCTCGGGCACCCCGTGAAGCCTCACAATCTCGCGAACATAAATCTTGGTCAACTGCTCTGTAGTGAAGCTCACCTTCACTGGAAGAAAATGGGAAGACTTCGTCAGTCTGTCCACAATGACCCAGATAGAGTCACAACTCGCCTGAGTCTTAGGCAATCACACCACGAAGTCCATGGAAATACTTTCCCACTTCCACTGTGGTACTTCAAGAGGTTGAAGCTCACCGGACGGTATTTGATGCTCGATATTCACCTTCTGGCAAATCAAACACTTAAACACAAAAATGGCAACATCCTTTTTCATGCCCGGCCACCAGAAATTCTTCTTCAAGTCTTGATACGTCTTAGTAGCACCAGGGTGGATAGAGAACTGGCCTTTGTGGGCCTCTGCCATAACCTCTACGGTCAACGGACCTCGAGGAACCACGATCCTCTGTTGAAACAAAAGGAGTCCATCCTCATTCTAAGACAAACCGTCTTGGTTCTTCACATAATCCAGACACTCTCTCTAAACTTGTGCCTCTTTGATCTTTTCTAACAGCTCATTCACAACGTCTGCTGCATCCATCTTGAGAAGTGTACTCCCACACGGAGCGGTCACTGCCAGGATTCGGAACTTAACAACCACATCAAAATAGCCAAGTAACAAACTGGATGAGCTCCCGGGTTTCCGTCTCAAAGCATCAACTACCATATTGGCCTTGCCAGGATGGTACTTCAACTCGAAGTCGTAATCCTTTAGGAACTCCATCCATCTCCTCTGCCTCATGTTCAACTCTTTCTGGTCGAAAAGATACTTCAAACTCTTGTGGTCACTGAACACCACAAACTTTAAACCAAAAAGATAATGCCTCAAAATCTTGAAAGCAAACACAATACCAGCCAACTCCAAATCATGAGTAGGGTAGTTCTCCTCCTGAGGCTTCAACTGCCTCGAAGCATAGGCAATCACCTTGCCCAACTGCATCAACACACAACCTAGCCCCTTCCCGGAGGCGTCGGTGTAAAGCTCAATCTCAAGCGCAGGATCAGGAAGGACCAACACAGGAGCAGTAGTCAGTCTCTCCTTCAACTCCTGAAAACAAACCTCACACTCGTGAGTCCACACAAATCTCCTTCCGGGTAAGACGAGTCAAAGGGAGAACCATCGTGGAGAAACCCTTGATGAACCTCCGATAGTAACCTGCCAAACCCAGAAAGCTTCTCACTTCCGTAACTGTCTTGGGCCTCCCCCAATCCAGCATGGACTCAATCTTGTTCGGATCCACTGCAACTTCTTCAGTAGAAATCACATGCCCAAGGAACTTCACAGACTTGAGCCAAAACTCACATATGGAAGGCTTCGCATACAACTTCTTCTCCTCCACCACTTGCAGAACAATTCTCAGATGCTCCACATACTCCTCCTCCATCTTGGAGTAAATCAAAAT